ATAGATGTACCTCCAGACATCTTCAATGCTTACAATAAGGCTCCTTTGGACATACTGGGTACTCATGATAGGTCTCGGTACTCTTGTCGTGATTATTACGTGCAACGTAGAGATTCGATACATCACATCACAATGCACAGCTTTACCGAATAGATCATGTATACGGCAGCGGCCTGGATACATGGCTGCTGAGCGCCACAGACTTTCGAGGCCGTTGAACAGTTAGCACATAAGATCGCCATCTTTATTTCTGCCTTCCCCTCGCTTTTTTCGAGAGCCGTGTTTTAGCACATATTGATAACAAATGATAGCGTTATCCAGGAGTCGCCTCCTGAACCAGATTACAGAAAGTATCGAGACAAAATCAATTGCTTTTCGTCTTTCTATTCCCTCAGACATCGCCCTGGTCTCCTACCCCGAATTGACCACTGATGTCGGCCATGTAAAATGCAAGTACCTGGGAGAGAACTTGGGAAACCCCCCGATTAGATAATAGCTGGTCCCTGATTTGTGCCTGGGACGGCATGGCCTATCAGCTAGGTTCTAACATGGTCAATAGGAGAGCGGCACATACGTAGATCTCCTCTGCAGCACCTCGAATGATGCTCTGCTCTATGACCTTGATATTGACTTGGCTTGGATGTGGAAGGCTTGAAGCAGGTTGGGTCGTGGATGTTTGGTATGAAGGAGCCGGGGGCAAGTTCAGAAATGTTGGGTCGAGGAAGTTGTATTCCCCGTTCGGCGTTACGCCATGTTGATTGTATTGGGGCACTTGGCATGATGAGGGGGGTGAAAGGCCCTGGGTGACTGGTGCTGAACCGGAGATGTCCTGCTCATCAGCGTTTTCGCAATACGGCTGTTGGGTGTTGCGCGCCGGAAAGCAGTTGTCTCCTGATATCGTCTCTTCAGCCATGTGATACAGTCAATCGGGTGAGAATGACAGGAGGATCTTTTGGTTCGCAGAGATATGGTCACGATCACTCTTTATATCAATGGCTCGAGGCCTGCTTGACTAGTACTGCTGAACGTGCCGGTGTTGGCCCCGAGTTGGAGAGAGGGGCATATCGCGCATTAGTTTGGGCAGGGATGTTCTACCAAAAGAACCGGCGCAGCAGAGGTGTGGAAGATGATAGGGGGTCAGATACCACGATTGCTCTCTGACCGACGATTCAGTGTTCACAATAGCTGCCATGATGCAGGAGTCGAGCATTCATAAAATTAGCACACATACCAACCCCGCGTGGAACGGTCGACGGCAGCTGCCAACATTCTTATATCAATGGTGTTATAGAGGAACATCCCCTCGAGCTCTGACTTGTTACTTGACGTTTGGCTTAAAATCCCACGACTGTTGTTGACAGATTATTCCTTACTCCTGCTTGAATGCAGGGCACGAGTATGACCTTGCAACTGGCACACTTCGTAGAAAAAAAAAGGTCACCAATAAGTCGTACTTGAAAATCCAGAAAACAGCAAGCTATAATACGTATAGCGGCATACGAGCAGGGAAAATCAACGCGTTTAGGTTGTCTGGTAAGTATGTACTTCAATTGGCCCACCGAAGGTTCATGCAAATCATGTTCCCACGGACTGGTAGTTTGGCTCATCCGGGAAGGAATTGCCCGTAACCCAGCAAAGAATGGTTGGTTGGACGTTGGCCGCTGGCCGCAACGAGGTAGTATACTCAATATAAGGACGGCTGTCATAGTAAGCCTGTGCTCGGGGTCGGCGTGCGACTATTGGTCAGTTTAAGATCTGTACTCCATCGTGGGCTAGGAAGGGGCCGAGCGTGAGTGCTCGGACCTCCCTCTTTTCGAACAGCGTCCGTCTGATACGTCGACCTGGTATTCCTTTCTTTGCTTGCTCCACAGCGGTTGATGCCCCATGTCAGTTTAAGACCAAGGCAGACACTCATTATCCAGAATCATGAACACTAGCTTAGTGATCGGCCGACCAACACTCAGAGTTTTAAATGAGGCATGGTCATTGATCATCCTGCCCATCAGACCTCCCTGGAACTCAGGTGTTTGGTATTCCCAGTCGATCGATGCACCGAGAGAATTGGTGTATAGTATTATAATTGACAATTTACGATGGGAGTGGAATATAAGGTTGAAATAAGGCCACATGCATGATCGTACATTTTGAAGTACGTGCATAAGCAGTCTACTGCCGAGCAACTACGCCGCAGCAGCGTACGCATAACAGAGAAAACATAAGAGGTCCGGTACCTCGCTTTGAACGAGAAAGCGCTACGCCTCAGGCTCTCAGCATAGGGCGAAGCCTCCCTCGAAGGTTGATTTTCCGATGCCTACTGTATGGGAGAGCGGTAAAATCTCGGTAGCTACATGGCACCATCGCGAATATGGTCATACTACTGTTACTTTCACATTTGATTTCCACAAAACCCCGGCTGTGATCAGCAAGGTGGGGCAGTTTCAAGCGTGGTCTCGCGTTACACCGTACCGTAATAAATAACAGCGCCACTTCTATCTCGATTATGTAGATGACCGAAACAAAGAAAGTTACATGAAAAAGCTGGTTCACAACGGTTCTCAAATTGGACTTATCGAAGCAATAATCGGTTATTTGATGATCAAATATTTAGCGAGGCCAAAATCGTTAGTACTGATTGCGAAGCCGGCATTGTAGAGCTTGCTTAGTAATTTCAGGTCATAGGTAACTACAGTAACATTCCAAAAGTTTCCTAACCCCCTGCTCCACTGTAGAATTATGCCGGCCAGAAGCCCACGCCGAATTCGCGGAGTGGCTTCGACTTTGAGCTTGATTGGTTCGCAAGAGCGAACACGGAAGAAGGTGGGTTAAGGGGATTGAACAGTTGTCCAGCATGGGCGCAGAGGTCGCGGGCCCGCGGGCCAGACGTGATGGGACGGCCACAACCCGGATAAACCGGATTAGCACCGATTTGTCTTTATTCCTAAATTTGCCCTGAGCTCGCGGCCCCGCGGACTCGATTAAACTCGATAAAATTTGGAAAAACTCGATTCTTTTGTAGTGCACTGTTATAACCCTATATATCTGCCCTATCACCTCTAGCCTACTGGCTTATTACTAACTACATATTAAACGTACTGTTACGAGTTAGCGAACTTTGATCTCTTCTGCAGAAGAAATCGGTATCGGAAGGGAGATACCGTTAACCACGCGACCCCACGCGCACCACCTCAAAACTTGGGATGTACTGTAGCTTCTGCTTCTTTCTCTTTTTCCCCTCCAGCCCTTGAGATTCTTGAAACCACGCAGTCAAGTTTAAATGAATAGTTTATGAGTCCTTCTAAAAGCTTTTCTGAACTGGCGTACAACAGTGGCGATATATAACATACAAACGGCGAATTAATGTCGGCTAAGCATCGGCCTCACGGAAGCTCCCAGGATTTAGTCTTTGAAAGGCTAGGAGAGTAAACGACCGAAGTTACAGACCCGCTCGACATCTGAATAAGCGTATTCAAACGCTTCAAATATATATAGGCATTGTAGTGCACCGTATGGATACTTCGTGATCGTCGTGATCTAGAATAATTTACCTGTAAACAAGTCAAACTATAGTCATGTCACGGCGCGAGTCACATATGGTGACTCGAAACGATTCACGATCGAGTCGACCCCGCGCCGCCTTAGAGTAACAACCCTTAGGACATCATGTGGGGTTGTGGGGACTCGGTACACGGGGACCCCATATATATATTGTGGAAACTGGTGGAGTATACCCGGACTCTAAGATTCAGTCTTTGAAATCAGACCCTATAGACTTGGACTCTCTGCCTAGCCAACAGGTTCTCTGTCCTGCGAAACAGACCCCCTAACAATTACTGAATCTTCCTATTTGGCTACCCAGGGAAGAAATGTCTATACCGACGACCCGTCAACGATCCGCCCGTCTTACGGCAGCGGAACGATCTCGACGAGCCAGCGAGGGACTCAGACAACCCTCTAGTGGGCTCAGCCCAACCCCTCGGGACCTGGAAGACAGGTCTAGCTACGAGGTACGGTCTCCCGAACAGACCGAACCTAATGATCAAAACACTCTCGATCGCCTTTTGGCGCGGATCCAACAACTCGAACATGAAGCTACGATTCGGCGACGAGACACCCCCGAACCCCAACCGGCGCCTCCTCTTCCCTATCGACCCCGAGGTGTTGAAATCAAAATTGATAACATCTCGCACCGCTTGAGCTCTATATCAACCCTAGAGCAACGTGTCCAGTGGCTCGATGAATTAGAGTACATCTTCGATGCGAGTCCCGACCGATACGCAAGTGATTCACATAAGATTCCTGTCGGGTTCTTTGCATTGGAACCGACCCAACGAGCTCAGTGGACGAATTACAAAAAGACCGAGTTTACAGCCCAACGGCCTACCTAGGACGACTTTGTCAACTGGACGCTAGAGTTTATTCGGGGTGGTCGATTTACTGAGGCTGATATTGCGGAAAAATACCACGGCGCTCACCAACTCGAAGACCAAGATCCGCGCGCGTTTCACAACTACCTCCAATCTATCGAAAATAATATGAATATTCAGGAAAAGGAGCGTGCTTTTGGCTACTACGCAAAGTTACGTCCAGTCCTTAAAAATGAACTCAAAGCACTATACCAAAACGACCTCCCAGAGAATCGTACCGATATGGTTTCGGCCGCGATTCGCACATGGGACAGCCGAGGCATGGGACGTCGGAATCCTCCTCCACCTAGGGCAAACCCGAAGAAGCGACAAAGGGAAGACCAGGACCAAAACGGACGATGGGAGAACACCAAGAAACACCGACCCTCTTTCCGCGGACGAGAGACTACGAACCCTAATCGAAACACTCCCGTCTCACCCTATCGTCAGCTCCACGGGAACAGGGACCTGACCTCGGTCTCCGTATACATCGGCGTCGACGCAGAGCACCAGGCCTCTGGCTCCGGTCGGCAAAGTGTGCGGCTAACAAGTACCAGGTCCTACGGGCACGGCTTATTCATTCTTGATCTGGCACACATGCCGGCTAGCGTTTGCGGGACATGGCCTGCCTTGTAAGTGCAACTCCCCTGATGAACCTGTCAAAGTCACTCGACTCGAGTACATATATAACTATGCGAATACTTGGATGCTTGGAGCAGATTGGCCTAATGACGGCGAAATTGATATCATCGAAGGCGTGAATAGCCAGTCGGTCAATCAAATGACTCTTCACACGAAAGATGGATGCTCAATTCAAAATTCAGGCTTCACTGGCTCTCTCGAATATTCCAGCTGCTACGTCGGGGCCCCGGGACAACCGCTTAACTCCGGTTGCGCTATCCTGAGTGGTAGTCCCCAATCCTATGGCGACGGTTTCAACAATGCTGGTGGCGGTATATATGCTACAGAGTGGAAATCCGCCGGAATCAAGGTCTGGCATTTTCCTCGCTATGGCATTCCATGGAATATCATCATTGGTCAGCCAGATCCGGCAACATGGGGTACGCCTTCGGCTGCGTTTTCTGGATACTGCGATATTGATAACCATTTCAAAGATCTGCGAATTGTACGTTCAACGTAACCTTTGATACTCTGGGATACATAAACCTTTGACATCTTACCCGTGAGTTCCTCTGGATCTAGGTCTTCGATATCACCTTTTGTGGTGACTGGGCCGGCAACGTCTGGTCCTCCGGTTCTTGCGCCTCCCAAGCTCCAACTTGCAATCTATTTGTTCAGAATAACCCCGCTGCCTTCAGAGAGGTATTTTGGAGAGTAAATTCTTTGAAAAGTTATCAAGATAACGCACGCCCACCACTTGGCTCCCCCTCTGCCCCTCCCGGATATAGCTCTGTTCATCGCGCTATCGGCGAGTCAGTCTCTCGCAAAGACGCAACACCATTTACTCGGCCTGGACCCCGCCATTTCCGGCATGGGCATAAAGGCCGGGAGCGAGCCTAGGTTGACCGCCGGTTTCAATCAGTCTCACGTGACAACTGACCTTGTTTCACAAAGACCTTGAGACTTGTACCTATGGCTTGCTCGATTACACAGCAATATCGCTTGTACGAATCTTTTGATCGTGAACAACCTCAGGCTACATTCTGCACGTACATGGCCAATACCTCGCATTGATAATCCTGGAATGACATCAAAATGATCTGTGGTCTGTTGAAATAGTTGGCTGCGAAAGCTGGTCTCAACGAACTCAAAACCATTAAACAAGGTTCGCAAGGACTCTTTTCACACAGCTCCAAGAAAGAATACAAGAAATTCGAGATCAGTAAGGAAGGTTTTTGCAAGCTTGGAACAGAGAGATGGAGAAGCAAGAATATTGACTTAACATTAGAGGGTGATTATTTGGGCGCTATACATGAAGCTTGCGAAGGAAGCTTTCAGAAGTAGAGCCACAAGAGAGTAAAAACCGAGAAAACTTCCAATGTAAGCTTCCAAGGCATCGCCGAGAATCATTATAGGCAAGGAATGGACCCGGCTCTATTAGCTTAAGAACCTGATTGCTGGCATCTCTATATCCAGTACGACACTATTCGCGACGCGTAATAATTGCTCATGTAGTCCAAAAGAGGTCAGCCGCAATGGGAGGGGATACTCGCCAGGAGAGTCGCTACCCTTGTAGGAGGTTTCCCAAATGCGCCTGCGATCTTCATTTGGTACCATGCGATTAGTCAAAATCGAAACCAAATCAAGACAGCTTCCTTATGGAGTGGAGCTTTTCAATTATTACGGCTTATTTTCAAACAGTACACATGTAATTATATGCGACCTTTGAGCTTGGTTGTCCCCTCCCCCTAATCCAGATCTTGTCTTGTCATTCTCTCTCTTATGTATTCCGTGTGAAGTACAGTTTGAGGCAGCCCGGGCTTTCCAAACACTACAAAGGAACGGAGTGAGCTACAGTTGGTGCAGCCTTCTCAATATGAGAGGCATGATATGTGAAATCGCTGCGAGGGATAGATTCTACCTGAGCTACGGACTATGTCAGTGGTATGATCACGTGCCACATTAAAAAAGGGAATCGTCAAGTCTGTTCCGCTGCTAGGGCCTTTAACATCGTAGAACAACATGTAGCATTCATTCATCGACCTTTTAAAATTTCTTTAGCGCAGCCAAACGTACTCATACCTGAGAGCTGACTGTACGGATGCTTACCTGGTTATATAGTGGCGGTGCGAATCTCGATATACAGGATGCAGGGCTAAGGAGGAAGGAGAAATGATTCTCCGTAAAGTCTTACCGGTACCTCTCCATAGTAAAGATGTAGAAGAGGAGAGGTAACTGCTCGTTGGTGAGGCCTGCTATACTGCTTGGCACACACATGGGCTACGCCCTCACCACCTGGGACCACCCACCTCAGTAGTCTAGCTTAGCTTCCTTCTTCCTCCTCTCTTCTTCTAGGCAACGTCGAGTGTTTTCACCTTTCAGGTTTTCCTTCGTAGGATCCTACAGTCAAATAGTAACCGAATCTTTGGGTACTCGCAAGCTGATATAGAGCCTTTCATTCTTGTCTTTATCACACATCAAGTCAGCTCCCCATGAGCAACAAAAAATTGTACCTGTACCGGAGATGATTGGGATATGCTGGCTAGGCGATTTGCAGCAGCGAGAATGTCGGCGGTTTCACAATAAAAATTGCAGAAATCGGGATTCAAATAGAACAGGATTTCCTTTAGATTCGGGAGTTTTGCGGCAAGCAATTCATGAGCTCGGTGATAACTCATCAAGGGATATTTCGGGATTCCTTCTTCAATATGAACAAACAATCGAATCTCGAATCCGACACTTTGAATAGAGTGCCGTGACACCACACTCAACGTATCCAAGAAGGTTCCTAGCCGGCAGGGATCAAACGAGTGTTGGAAAAACAGAGTGCTCCGGGAAAAGATGTAAGCCTCGGTCTCCATGTGAATTTGGTGATTCACAAGTAACAGCTGAAGTGAAGAAACATCTTGGATGGCCCAGCTAGGACAAATCGAAAGAATGCGATATTTTTCACGCGTTGTAAACACCTTTCCACGATCTCGAATGGTTATAAGAGGCCTTTTCCAGTATACGTCATGAAGGTCAAAAACGAAGTCGTAGATCTGTAATCGTATCTCCATAGGAAGATTTAGTAACCGGGATTTATTGGGCAGGTACATCGAAGAGCTGAGTAGCTGAGATTTCGTGTCGGATTCGTAAGTCGAAAGAACTATGGGGCAAGTTTAGATCTCGGTAGGCTCACATATGCTTGCAAGAATCCGAATATAAGGAGTTACCACTTACCATATATTTGACTGAGGATCATACGAAGGAAAACCCTTGAAGGTGAAAACACTCGACGTTGAAGAGAGAAGGAAGAAGGAAGCTAAGCTAGACTACTGAGGTTGGTGGTCCTAGGTGGTGAGAGGGTGTAGCCCATGTGTGTGCCAGGCAGTATGGCAGGCCTCACCACAAACACCATACAGGCTGAGATGATTTAGACCTCACAGGTTAGTGGAAAGCACGACGAAGCCGTTGAAGCTTCCCCGCATTTGACAAGAATGCCGTCGAAGCACCATGACCTTCGATTCTCCAATTCCTATCAACAACGATTAACAACAAGCTTAGTCAAAGTTGACAGGCCCTAACGCCAGTGTTTGATAGTCATTATTTGTCGCATGGTCACAAACCCCCCACGGAGAGATCAACCCACTTTATGAAGCCACCGAGAGAGGACCATCAGGCAGCACTCTTATGGTAGCAGCAATTGAATGAAGGAGACCCAAAAATTGCGTAAATACTCGATACTCTAAGAGATACTCAGACGTAATAATTAGCCATAGGAGTAGAATGGCAAAATGTGGGAAAGCTTAGATAATCCATCCGAGAAAAACCGAGACCATCAAAGAAGAGCGATGTGTTCCTACCTATGCACTGAACCCGAGTTCTTTATTTATAGCAGTCAGCATTAGTAGCCCGCATGCATTGAACTCTCACGCCCCATGTCCTGCGCAACTGATTTGGATTCACCCTCGAAGTAGATCACTAATTTCTATGTGAATCAGACATTTGCTGGCGCCCCGCCTTGAATGGGGCCTTCTGAGTATTAATATGCGCGTCAGCATCTCTATGCTCGCGGTGGTCATGATAGAAGGAGCCAGATTAAGTACAGACGCGACCCAGACACTGTACCACAGGACTCGCGACATCGGAACTGTTGCAGAAGGCTATAATGTGCAGAGCGAGGGCGCAGAAGCCTTCTTGAGTTCCTATTGGATCAGGAGTCAGCACGATTTCACTATTCAGTCTAACGCTGCCGGCAACTCAGTGACTATAGTTTCACAGAAGCCTAGCGAGCACTTTACCCTCGTTGTACCGCCGCTCATCGGTACCAACACCGATACAAACATTCCCTGGATTGACAGCAGCACTGCAACACGTGCATTGTTGATCACGTCGATAGCGTTACCGTCTCTATCGGAGTCAAATCTTTCTCAGCACTCTGAAACAGTAAGAACCACGAGCAGCCCGGCCTTCATTGGTGAGGTCATGACATCGAAAACGTCTTCTTTGGTGTCCAGAAATACGCTTTCATTGACCATCAGCACTGATGCCTCAATCTATCTCCTTCTGCCAGGTAAAAAAGATGTTACCACTACTGAGAAGATTGGTAGAAGTACATCCGCGCTGGAATCGAAGGCATATGGCCAGGGCTTCAGCAGTTTGTCCACAACAGGCATGATTCCAAGGTCAACCAAATTTATTCCCTACATCGCCACAGTAGCTACCCCACAGTCCGTCTACAAGATTACCTCAACAGTCGCAGTAACTACCGAGGTCTCCGCAGCTACTTCGATCACCCAGATTAGCGGCAGTGTCGATGCAACTAGAAACCCAAAGGGCCAGGAGGTTGGGTCCAAGGCCGGAGAATCGACAGCTGAAAAGTGGACAGCGATCGACCAGACTCCTTCTGTTATAGCAGACAAAACGTCGCTCAGTGAATTAGCTGGCCAATCCGTTACCAGTACCAACGCTCCGGAGTTAAACACAATGACTGGAAATTCCGTCGCGCGGTCGCGCACTTCAGGTCCTATTGATAGTGGTTGGGGGATCTATCTCCTTGGAGACATATCACACTTCAAAAACTATCAGCAGGACTGGCAGTGTTGTTAGCACCGTTGGCACAAGTTCACCCCCATCGGTCCCCAGCTTCTTGAGTATGAACACCATCGTATCGGATACAATTCCATATGTCACAGAACAATCAACTTCAGTTGATTCTATTGATTCTACAAGTGGAAACGTCTTGGTAACGACCACGGGCAGGCTTTCCGTGTCGAGAAGTTCCTCTGACCCAAAAACCACGATTCCGCTTTATTCACCGGGCAGCAGCTCCCACGTCGTAGCTACCAGCAGTGTGACGTCGGTTCCTGCTGGCGTAAGCATGTCCGTTGTCGAAACGAAAGACTCGAGTGCCATAAGCTCGATATCTGCGCTATGGGGAAGCGTCAGCGAATCCTTGATATTCAGTTTCACCACTGGTGTCTCGCTGCGCACGAAGAGTGCGCCTGATATCGAACCTACAACCATGATCATGACCATTTCTCATAGCTTCCCCGTCACAACAAGTCACGTGATAAGGACCTTGCTCAGACCGACTATCCAAACTTCTAGATCAACCAGCCCGACTTGGAGACCATTCGAGTATCCAACGACTACCTTCGTTAAATCACCTATCTCGGCTATAGTGGCTAACACAATTCCAACTCAGACCTCAAATTCGATATATATTGTGATTTGAATGCCTGCCAAAGAACTCACCAACAGTGTCGGTGATGCTACTTCATTACTCGCGATTGGAGCTTATGAATCGGGACACGTCCACACGATCATTATCCCGGAACCCACGTGGAGCTCGACTATCAAGCCGTCTATTCGTGCCTCGAGCTGAATAGAATAGAAAGAGAGTGAAGGCTTTCCTTCAGGGAAAGTAGCTTCGTATTAACTCATCAATGTTGCTTTGACCTTGCTCAAAGAGATAAATGGCACAGAGCGACAGCCGATTGACACGGACCACCATGGCACAATTGCGCTACTGTTTGCATGGCAGGTGATTCTGCTACTCATCACCCCTCTCACACATCGATACCGCTGCCCCTACCGTAGCCGTATCTCATCAGCTACTCAGCGCAAACTTTTTGTAATAAATGAACATCTTATTAGCAATTTATCTTGTAATCCCTGCTGAATGCGATATGTCGGTATCAAGCACAACAAGCACAGGTTCAACAATAAAGCTCGATTCGTTCATAGCATTCCCGCTACGCAGACGCGGGGATCAGTGGTATGGGAGAACAGCTGAGTTCAGCCAAGCGTCCACGGTGATATATCTTGTACAGATGGCAGTTGTACTGTACGACACGAGAGTGACAGTGGGTTTAATATGGGATACAGAGCTTGTGGTCGCCACCCCATGTGTTATCGAATCCGAGCTTACTTGAACTGAAGTCGCATAGATATTCACAGGAAAGCCTCGTGCCGACTAGGCTCGTTGAAACAGACTCAGTTAAAAGATAGCTAATAGTGAAAGAGTCTTGGCTATCGCTGGTTTTTATTGCAGAAGAGGTTGTGGTACTTGAAAGAATAAAGCTTGACTACGTCTCGGATACTGCGTAGCAGCTGACTAAAGCGGTAGAACAATACTAACCTAGCGAGGACTGTAAGGTGAGGTCTATTGATACGGTAATCGGAGCGAGGGTGCTGGAGCTCTGTAAAGATACTGAAGGCGAAATCGAGGTCAGGCGGTAATTGCTGCTGATTACGGTCTTAGACTTTTGTACAGATTGTATAGACGTGAGGAGACGTCCCGTCATAGAGGAATAGTTAAGTGCACCGGCTGTATAACTTATCAAAGCCGCAGAGCTAATTGAGTGTGTAGCCACACGAGAGAGGGTACTCTTATTTAGAGTTACGGTGGCGGTTGTTTGAAAAAGATGGCTCTGCGTCGTTGATGTAGAGACTTAAGGCTCCGGTCGAATCATTGAGACAATGGCGATAGGGCTTATATCTAGTGTAATTACCCTCGATGTTATTGAGGGAAAGCTCGATGTCCTCTTAGCAGGACAATCTATTACCGTTGGTGCGTAGCTGATGATTGTCACTATTTGTGTTGTATAGACTGTCAAGATTGTTACGAGTTAGCGAGAGTTAGCGGACTTGGATTGCGGACTTGGATTTCTTCTGCAGAAGAAATCAGTAGCGGAAGGAGGATACCGAAGGGAGATCCCGTCACGAAGGCATGTTCCGGTGATCTCATCATCTTAATACCTTCTGCAAATTAGATTTCTCTTTCCTTTTCTCCATCAGGCTTTTCGACCTTCGTTGAATGCACAAGTTGATTTCGAACTTATTGGCACATAACATAGTCGAAAAACCTCATTCAAACCTTACACTTCAAAGTCTAAGACGGGCATCGAGATAATTTACAAACTCAAAGCCAGCCTTAGAAGTTTCACCATCATCACAACCACCGAACTGAACCGACTTGTACCGAAGCCACAATGGCACGATCACGCGAGCGACCCTCCTCAGCGGAACGAACCCCTCGCCGAACTTCACTGAACTTTAGCTATGAAAATGCTCAATACGAACTTGAAACTCCTGAACAGCTACTTGAGTGGATCTCCCATAATAGCCGGGTAGCTTTCCAAGCGCTGAACCAGGAGGCTGAAATGAACCAACGACTTCTTGAAGAGAATACGTTGATGAAGGAAAGAATCACCCAGTTGATGGAACAAACCCCTACTGTCAAAGCCCAGCACATGGAAGAGGCTTACGCTAGTCTCCGTGCCGATCTTACCTCTGTGGAAAAGAAATTAGAAAATACTATCAAAGAGCGTGACGGACTCGCTACCGCGATGCGATTTATGCAGATTGGCCGTGGTAACCATATTAGTGATGGTGGACTTGGTTCAACTCGTACCACCCCGGATGCGGAGGAACTCCCTCGCAAGTCTACCAAAATGCCAAATCCCCCTATGCTTAATGACGGTAAAGATGTGAAGTTCAAGCATTGGAAAGGTCTCATGAAAAGAAAGCTTTTATTGAACCCGGACCACTACCCGACTACATCCCACCAGTTTGCCTACATTGTGAGCCGCTGCGAAGGCAAGGCATTAAGTCACATCAGCCCTCGTTTGGAAGAAGATTCTACGACCCCATATCAGACTACTGAGGAGATCTTCAATTATTTGCAAACTGTTTTCCATGATCCAAACCATAAGCAGGCAGCTCGTGACGAATTTTTGGACTTAAAGATAGACCCAAAGCAAGTTTTCATTGATTTCTTGGCCGAATTCACCACACTCGCGGAGGAGTCAGAGCAGCCTATGGAATTAAGAAAGAGAGATATATACCGCATGCTTCCCATACTTATGCAAAATCAGGTCATGATCTCCGCCGGTGATAGCTCTGTCACTTTAGAAAGATTCATCCAACAATGCCAGACTGCTTCACGCGCAATTTCGCAGCAGATCGCTACTCACAGTACACGCCAAAGGGCAGTCGCACGGAGTGGTCGTACTCAAAATAACGTTACTACTCAAGGCAATGTTACGACTCGAAAAAACACCTCGAATTCGGATATTACCGCGAATTCTTCAACCTTCCTTAAGGATTCAACCAAGAAAGCACAGCTCATGAAGGAAGGAAAATGCTTCATCTGCGAGGAAAAAGGTCATCTCTCTCGTGACTGCCCAACAAAGAAAAAGACCAGTATCGCAGCAACTGGATCCAAAACTACTGAGGACAAAGTGAACCTCACGAATCTGGAGGAATCCGAATCTGACTCGGAATCGGAAAAAGTCTAACCCTGGGCAAAGTCTCCATCCTAGGGAGTGTGTCTAAGTTGATTTTACAAAAAATGTTATCACCTACAAGGAGTATGGTTATTGGTGCTCAAATAGCCATCAATGGAAGAACAGTTCAAGTAAATTGCCTCGCCGACACAGGAGCAGATGGATATTTGTATGTTCACACCAACATGATTGAACTACTTGTACCATTAGGAGTCAGGACGCGAAAACTTTCCACCCCATGCCCAATCACTGGATTCGATGGTATTTTGCGAAAACCTGTTACGCATGCTACCAATTTGACCCTGGTAATGGATGGTCATATGTAGCTACGACAGCCTATGTTGACTACTGAACTAGGTAAACGTGACATAATTCTGGGGCGCGCTTGGTTTGCCGAACATAAAGTCCTGCCATATTGCAAAAATCAGAGGTTGATATGGCCAAGTGCCACAACACTGAACGAGGAAGTACAGCAAGCGATCAACAAGGCAATTCCACGCGTAATACTCGGAAGACCATCTCCGGTTGACACGCATGATCATCAAAAGAATATGGAAAGATGAAATCAACTCTTTGAAGTTGGGATCAAGAACAAAAAGTCTTATGGTCAAGATCAAATTCTTCTTCAGAAGAATACAGCTCAGGAACCAGCATTCGATATCGCGGCGATCGGTGGTGTGGGTTTCCACTGTCATATGCAAAGAGAGGGTACCACCTCATTCGTGACCTCACTGGCTCAAATCGACAAGATTATCGAAGAGAAATCGCAATCACAGGATACGTTGAAGCTTCATGAGATGTGCGAAATCAAGAAAATCTTTCCCCGGGAATATCACGAATTCATCAAAGTATTCTCAAGAATGACTCCCTCCGTCAAGTAAACTGTCCACTTTACAAGATGACCGAGGAGGAGTTAAGATTTGCAAAACAGTACATTCTGCAGAATCTCGAGAAAGGATTCATTGTTCCATCCTCCGCACTTCACGCGTCACCAATCCTAATGGCTGAAAAACCAAGTGGTGGCCTCAGATTCTGCGTTGATTACCGGAAATTAAAGGCCTTAACTAAGAAGGATCGATACCCACTACCTCTTATTGATGAATTGCTTCAAAGAATTAGCAAAGCTGAGTGGTTTACTAAGTTGGACATCCAACAAGGATTTCATCGAATTCGCATGCACCCGAGCTCAGAGGACCTTACAACTTTCAGATCCAGGTATGGATCATACAAGTATAAGGTCTTGCCTTTTGGACTAATGAACGGTCCGGCCACTTTCCAACGGTATATCAATTATGCACTAGGAGATTATCTTGACGACTTTTGCACTGCATTTGTGGATGACATCCAAATCTACACAGATGGTGATCTGAAGCAGCATCAGCAACATGTGAAATCCGTACTGTAACGATTGAGAAAAGCAGGATTACAAGTGGCACTTCATAAGTGCGAGTTTCACACTCAAGAAACTAAGTTCCTCGGCTTTATCGTTGGTACTCGAGGTTTGCGGGTGGACCCTTCAAAGATCGATGTGATCCAAGCGTGGAATCCACCTACTACTGTATTAGGTATACTCATTTTGTTGCTGGTTGGTGCAGAAAACCATAACCTTCCTCTGCCAGTCCTCTTCACGAAATCAGTTCTGTATATCTTCGAAACCAGGTTGACCTGAACTCAAGAGAGGTGATGCCTGGAAGAACTGAGTTCGTAAAGAAGATGTCCAGCTACGAGAACGTATTTCAATGGTACTGCAATGATGTATCAGTTCGTGAAGTTCAACTGTACCGAGTCCGGATTGAAAGTAAATGTTACGGGGCGATATCGCAGGTCAGATCACCCCTTTGCTAGGCAAAGGGGCCAACCAAGTCTATAAGGTCTGGTATTCAAAGGCTGAATCTTGGAGTCTGGGTAGAGACTCCACAAGCTCCCATAGTATATACATTAAGATCCCACGTGGCGAGTACCCACATCTCCACATGCTGCACGCGGGGTAGATTCGACCGTGAATCGTATTCCATCACCATGTGGCCTGCGCCGTGACAGTAAATTATTAGTGCCCGAACGGTGCCCGATCAGCTTATGCATTTTCCTTATGTCTTGACACAGGAACCACGCATTCCAAATATACTTCATCGTCTCTCTTCAAGTATCTTCATCGAGGCCTGCTGTGTATTCACGAAATTCTCTACACCACCATGAGTCCGTTATCTCATAGAATAGATCCAGAAGGTGAAGTAATTATAATACTGCGCAATGCGAACAGTCCCTTTGCCCCACCCACGCGAGATACATGTACCCATCAATGGCTTGACTCCTCTCAAACATCATTTAGCAATCCCGAGAGTCCTCAGGTGTCGGTTGGAATTCAAATATTCCATTACAAACTGTTAGAGCCGAATCTCGGGGTGCAGACCAAGAACAAGTATAAGGATGAGAAGAGGAAGGCAAAAAAAACAGAAGCCTTTTGCTGAAGGTTTCGCTGCTAAAGAGACCACCGTCGAGGCTACCGCTGCTGAAAAGTCTGTTGTCGAAGGCCATTTGGGTCAAAATTGCTCGCGTATTCAAGTCTCTGCAAAACATTTGATGTTTGCCTATCCATTTTTTAAGAGGCTACTTACTGGAGGCTGGAAAGAAAGCGTTGCATACTTCCAGAAGGGTTCAGTTGAGGTTACCGCGGAAGGCTGGGATGTTGAAGCGCTCATGAAAGTACTTCAAGCCATTCACGGTCAACACTCTCACATACCGTGAAAACTGACCCTGGAGATGCTTGCGAAGATTGCTGCTATTGCAGACTATTACGAATGACGCGAAGCCCTGGACTTGCTGGCGGGCCGTGGATCGAAAGAATGGAAGAGGAGACTCCGTCGATAGCTTCGAGGGATTCGATTTTATGGTTGTGGGTCTCTTGGGTTTTCCAACTCCTTACCTAATTCAGCTTACCCACATCAATCGCTATCGCGCAGAGCGATGGTTTTATTGATAATTTGGGACTGCCAATTCCAAAAGATGTCATAGGTGAGCGCATATACATCATTCTGTTAGCTTAAAGACTAATGTTACTATAGTTTCGATCAATAGACGCAGAGAGCCTATCAAGAAGTTGATAGACCTGATCGGTGATACACGCAGACTGTATCTACTCGGCGCGCGCGGCTGCCGCTTCGAACGTCGCTCAATTATGTGCGGTGCTTTGACCGTCCAATCAAAGGATCTACTTCTGCCGCATCGCAAGTTCCCTTTTCCAAACGTCAGTTACAGGTCTCTCGTACAGAGAATGACGAACTTCCGATCACCCGAATGGTATGATTCACCCTCAAGACATATAAACAAACACAGCTGCCCTGGATCCTCCTTCGCATCCACATTCAGCCGTAGATGGTTTTTTTGAGGGGCTGGAGCTGAAGAAAAAATGCAATACCCTCTGACGAAGAACTATGAAGTCTCAATGCCATTCGACTGAAAATACAAGAATTAAATTCATGTCGCAGGGTACGTAACATCATCCCGGCCACCCCAAAGCACCATACTAAATGCAATAAATCACAATCTCATGTCTCAACAACCATATCTATATAGGATAAGTTATTAAGTGCATATGATCTAAACAGTAATTCTAGACTGCGGGTGTAGTGTAGCATAATCACTCTAAGTAGTTACAGATATGAATACATTTACATCTGAAAGGTGAAACTTACGCTTTATCTCATGGCAAACTATACATATATTTGTCTGAAAGGTCCAAGAATCATACATAGACTTCCGTATATAATATGTTTAGCTTAATGCTACGCACGCCACAAATGCGACGGACAGAAGCTGAAAGGGATGATGTACGAGAGTCATTGTTCAAATGAGACTTTCCCATAAGGGAATTTTGCAAGTGATATTTAGTGCCTTCTGTTAGAACTAGGAAATCACGTGGAAAGCTAGGAGCGGGGGAAGCGTACTTTGGTAGGTACCTGTCGCACTACTACCCTCCCGTTAGCTTGGCGGTCAGCACAATAGTCGGACCCCTTTAAAAGCCTGTAACGTGCTTTGCCTCTCCATAAGAGCAAAGCGGAATGCCAAACACCTCCCAGTATGGCGTTGAGTATTGATAGTCAAGATGTTCTCTACACGCTAGCTTGTGAATACGTGGTCCTGTCTAACGGTCTTCAGGAAATCCTAGTAAAAGCAAGGCCGGAGTCTGAGACGACCATTAAAAGCCTTACCGAATGTCAACAGCGATTTCACATATGGAGGGCACATTTAGGTGTATTTGCAAGAAAGAACCAAGGCTTAGACACGAGACTCCGAAAGTTTCCAGACCTTCAAGACCTTGTTGCTCGGTTATTAGATCTCCTTCTCGGGGGTCTGAAGCGTTGTATGAACGAAGACCAAACAGAAGTTGAATTAGACCAAACGGCGATAGGTCTTGCCGGGTCTCACGGCCACACTGAAGAAAGGGCTCTGGAATCAATTGAAAACACACTTTCTCGACTCAACCGCTTAGGTACCACAATTCGCCGATCGGATCTCGACGGATGGAGAGCCAGGGGTTTTGCCGCAAATCTCGGTCTCGACTCATTTGCCGATTTATGTTTGAAGGCACTACATGCCTTATATCCTGATGCCGATCGGTCGCTGAAAGATTATTTAAGCAAGTCAATGGTAGAGAGATACGCAAAAATGCGACTCCTCGACTCTCGCCGCGAAAAGCGAGGGACCCACGGCGAACCGAATTCCGGACGGATGATGATCATGGAACCGCCTGGTCACGAGCCGTATACTGAAGATTCTGTGAACAAACCAGCTGAAGCAATTCCTGTAGTAGCTGATCGTTTGGGAGTATTTGCTGCATCCTCTCAGTCCGACGTATCCGGTGTTCACCCCCATCAGATCCGGGCCTATGAAGCGTCGCCTACACCTTCGCAGACATTATCGATTCACATGAATCGGGCTCACTACCCGAAACCGCCCATTGCAAGTGGAGGTAGCGATGTCTTCGCTTGCAAATGGTGCTCTGAACAATTCAGCAAGAAGACACTTTCGGCAAGCAAATAGCGGTAGGTGATTTCTACACTATGGGCCATACGAGTCTTTGAAACGATCACAGACCTTTCTGTTGTGTCTTGGACCTAACACAATTGGCCGTATATGTGAACCTTTTTGGAGATTCTCACATATCCCATGGAATTGGAGATGAACCCAGCTAACTAATTCAAGCCGCCACATAGATCGAGACCTCAAGCCCTACGTCTGCCTCTCGGAGACTTGCACAGAAGGGCACCCGACCTTTTCGACCTCGGATGAGTGGTTCAGGCACATGGAATTACACGGCCACCGATGGCAGCGACAGAATTACTTATTAACAGCTTGGATCTGCACTATCTGCGACTTCAAGTCGAACATCTACAGGAATTCCGAGGCCCTCCACGTACATCTAAAACAATCACATGCTGATGAATTTACAAGTAAACAACTTCAAGCCTTCTCACGACAGAGCAGGATAGCGCAGCCAAGGGCTCGGAACGAGTGTCTTCTGTGTTGTTGCCTTGTGGAGGAGACACCCCAAGACCATGGTGGGGTGGTGTTTCCCAAGCGAAGAAAAGGATCGTCGAAGCAGCAAACTGCAAAAAATGCTAGGAAGACTCACGAGACAATTACCGCTGTTCGCCCGAGCCCCCAAGCCAACTTTTCCGACACCTCTTCGGATTCAGACGATGCCAACCCTCCAAGTCACAGACCTCAAACTCAAGTCCACGCGAGGGCTCTAGCCCGGCACATTGCGGCACATTTACAAGGGCTGATGCTCTTGACTCTACGCTTCGCAGCGTTGCAGACTGACGACGCGGTTTTGGACGACGATGCTAAGAGTGATTTGGTGGATACCGACGACGGGGCTAGTGCCTCGAAAGGCATGGATATCGGCATATTATCCGACTTTGACTCCGTGGCTGATGTCAGTACGGAGGTTCTTCGAGGTGATGAAATCCTGAGGTTTGATCCAGATCTTGTTGGCGATGACAGGACGCTTTCTCAATCCCAGACAGCGATTTCAGTTTCCAGGAAGTCCCGAGACCATGTGATGGCCTCGCAGCCGAAGATGATATTTTCCTACTCGGAATCAGGAAGTCAGGGGCCTTTCAGTCGCGAGAGAGGGAACCACCTGCAATATTCCAACTCTTCTCATAACGAATACGTACCGGCTTGATCTGTGCCTTCCTGGTGGAAGCCGCGGCTACGAGACTAATGCTGGATGACATACACTCGCCTTTGCCCGCCCTGCCGACTGCTCGAAATCAATATACTTATGGAAAAATCAGAGATCATATTTCATTCTTGTTTTGCGGCCCCTAGCGTACGGCGCGACATCAGCCGCGACCTATGTGAACCAATTGTTGTCTAGCTTTCCCTCCATGCGCTTTTGTCTTGTGGTTGGTATCGGTGACCGGGTATGAGCACTCAGGCTAATAATCGACTAGGAGACGTTACAATGGCTAGCCGAGCGAACCCACTGGCGGTGTGGTCCAAGTTGATTTATATAGGTTACTTAGCGGTGGAGCGCCTAACACTAGCGAATATAGTGGTAGAACTGAGAGCGTTGACTCTAGCTATTTCAAGTTCACCGGAGTTACGACTCGCCCTCCCACTGTTCTGTTGAGTTTTTTTCCGTCTCTTCAATTGCATTATCTCATACAAGGCCGCTAAATCGATGGATTGGTCAACAAGGTGCAAGACGCTAGGTTCATGAGACCGACCATTTTGTTCAAGTGGATTGTAATCACACAGTATTTGGCCTGTGCGCATTCTGCACGTGGGCCTAGTCTACTGAGTCCCAAGCCACTCGCCACCTTCTGGAGAGCACCAAGCATCAGCCATCTATCGCGGGCTTATTGAATCTATAGATCGAGTGAAAAGAGATGGTAGGTATCGGGATCAACTTGCCCGAGAGGCGGATGTTATGTGTGGAAATGGAGGTGGCGGGACTTCCTGAGAACCATTCGTCCCGGTCATTTCTGGGACATTTGACTACGCGGACTCGCGGGAGAACAAGAAATGACAGGGAAATGCGGCCACCACGGCTGCAGCCTATGCAAAAGAACTTCCTACCGAGGTTGCAGCGCGCGCCCTGTTAAAGATGCTCCTACTGTCCAAGAATTCTGAACAAATTTAGGTAACATATCTTACTCAGGATGCCTAGCCAACAAGACTTAACTAGTTGCTACCTTTGACTACCTGCAAGATATGTAGCTCGTCGTTTCCAGGTTCCTTCCAAACTACAAAGCATGCCAGTCTACGAAAATTCCGTTGGACGGCAAGACGAGCTAGACAAATTGTCACAATATTTAAAGCTTTAGGTGTCTGGGTTACGAAAGAATGCGATTGCCCACAGGCTGTCAGGGATAAGAAAGACACAACTAGCGGCTCTATTTGCCGAAGACCATAGGGATGACTACACCGCGATCTTCTTGCTTAGTGACTAGAAATGAAGCGGGTCATTACAGGCTTTAAGCTCACAGGCAGCCTAGTCGAACACATACGGCAGATGAAGGCGCAATAACTGTCAAAGAATTGGAGCATCCGGCTGGACCTGCCCTAGAATGGCTACCAGTAACAAGGAATTCACGTTAGCGTATCATCTACGACAACATTGGCCTTTTGACGGAATCTCTATCTGCTGTGAATGAGGTGACGAGTTTTCACTTGACAGAAGACCATGGCTCTATTCTGAGTAAATCTCGGTAAATATTTTGGCGGAGATAAGAAGGCCCTTTCCCGTTAATGGGGTATATTTTAAAGATGCATTTCAACTGCTTCCACAAAGCAGCCGTGTGTCTGTGAAAATTCTACCTCGGGAGCGTGAGACACATCCAAGAAGAAAGTGATTTGAAATCTAAGTGGTACACGATGGACTGACATTTTATAGAATTAGTTTGCCTTTTGTGTATTCTACGTAGATCACCTTCAGCGTTTTTCCATGTAGGGTATTTCATTCGTGATAACGAAACGAGAACCACATAGTATCTGGATCACAGCCGAACAAGGATGTCTCGTGTTAAATTATAGCTACAGAGAGACACGGGTTTGCTGTCAACATGAATTAATTTGTATCGCACGATTCAAAACAAGTACGTCCGCGCCACAGTAATGCTACCATATCGTGCTGGATTCCCGAATTAGATTATCTGTTCTGAACGGATAAAGTCGGCCACCATGTTGCAAGCTTTTCTTCTGAGCTCGAAAGAACAATATCAAACCTGTCCGCGTCCAACGCTAGTATTAGGATACTAGTCAGTTTCTCCCTCCTTAAGAAAGCCGCCAGAAAGCCGAAGTTATACGATGTACCCATTCCTACGACACTGATGCATCCATTGTCTAGCACAGACGAAAGTCTAAACTCGACCCTGCTGGATGGACCGCACCCATTTCAGTTGCATGGACTTCCTTGTTCAAGAATAAGTGAAAAGGATATTTTTGAAAGTTTTTATTTGTTGAATTTGCGGTGTTGGCGATTGTCATTTGAAAAATCTCTAGTTATATGAACAGCTTTTTGAACATACTGATCATAGATATTATCAAAATCTGCCAATTGGTCACTGAGCCTTTGCAGTCCGATAGGCATTCGAGGATCTTAAATGGTCTACTTCAGGCAAGCAACACGGAGGCGGGCTGAGAGTGGATCCATACAAACGACCGTTGGCAGGCTACAGAAACACATTCGGTGCGGACCAATTCATTCTGGCCCAGCTGGTCACGAAGACGCCGAGCATACTATGACTTGGAAGTAGCTGATTGCCTTTTACCGTGCTCTGCTAACACGGCACCCGACCCATCCTCATTATTCACAGGTATTTCAATCATCGAACCTTGGAAATTGTTTCCGAATGGGCTTTATCCGATCCACTGGGTAGGAATATAAAGATTCCTGGGGAATATACCCAGTAAATAGCATGGAAAATTAGTTTATGAAAACATCGTTGTAATGGAATGCAATCAGAGCCAAAAAGTATCTCCAAATACAACTCAGAAAGTTTGATACCAAACGCCTCCCTCCCCTCTGATCAATCGCCTTTCCCATGCGGGGCCTCACTTGGACGTAAGGCAGCTACGGTGATCATAAACTGCTGCGCCAGCTCTCGTGAAGTCATAGTGATGATTATCATGCTTATATATCTATCTAGGCATTTCGCCCAGCAAGTTTGATTTACAGAGCGTAGCCCGCTGAGATATGGTGATACGTATTCTGTATTCTGGCTTAGGTATGTATGTGATTCGAACCAGCCTGGGATGTAGCAGAAGTGAAACTGTCCATTCACCCTGCATACAAGTTCTAGCCACTAGAGATCCTTCCTGCAAATTGGACAAGTGCCAGAACTTTTCTTCAGCCAGTTGAAAATACAATCCTCATAGAACATATGTTTGCAACACGAAATTTCCACGGCCTTACTCCTATGAACAGAGATCCGATCCAGACAGATGGAGCAACTTCTCTTCGTGAGCAAGGACAGATCTTCTTCGTGAACTGCACCAAAGCTTGGCGTTGGATCAGCAAAAATATCGCCAAATTCTCGTAAAAAGCTGTGAACTTCCGTGGACAACGACCTTCGAAGTTGGTGCAACCTTTGACGGAGTTCCTTATTTTCGGGATCAAGCTTGAGCGCAACCGAGATGGAAATACATGAAATTTCCGGGCTACCCCAAATCTCTTGGGCTGTCGCATAGCGAGACAGAAAAATGACCCTTTTCTCTTTCGCAAGTAGATCTGAAGAACACCAATCACGGGCTAGATTAAGTGATCTTTTGTAGGCATCCCCCAGAGTCTCTTTGATTTCCATCATACGATCCTGTCTTATATAGATATCAAGTCGACTGCTGACGAGGTCAAACATTAGACTCATCCAGTCGACGGTTGCCTTTTTGTTGCGGTGTTGTGTCCAATGTATCATGACTGATGAGGCAGAATCATAGTAGCCTAGGGCTTTGGTTGGGTCCGTGTTGACGTATGTGTCCCCAATGGCTCGGAGTTCCGAGGGTAGTTGCATGAGAAGTGTGTGAGCTGGCATGTGGTAAGAGCTATGATGCTCTTTCTGTTCGAAAACAACGGTGGATTGCGGCGAGATTCTTCCCGTCAGTCCTTGCACGAAGCTCGCTGCGGCATTCTTCGTCACCTCCGTTGGATCGCAGCATTGAATTCTGAACTTGAACACGCGGGGAGAGGAGCGGAAAGAGAGCCAGGAGCATACCCCGAGCGCAATATTCTCCGAGTCTTTAGACTTGCAATTAAAGAGCAGGTACCGAATATTCCGATCTGAGGAAGAATCCACAGAGCAATGTACCATGAAGTCGGGCTGTGTCATTGCAGGACGACTATAGGATAGCTCGTCTCTAAAACCATCGCTTATCGGCAGAACTCCATAAATTAAAATTGACATGGCGATGATGGAACACAGATGAAGGATTGTGCCGCGATGGAACTATATCTGCGGGCATGTTTGTTTTTAAGTCGTTATCCAGCCGGGAGAGCCTTCCCGACTGATGGGTGTTTCGTATGGCATTTGATTCTGCCGCTCACCATAATCTACAGCTAGGTAGAATCTCTCCCCCGCAGCAATCTCACACCTCATCCCTCTCCTATATGGTGCAGCTGCGCCTAGCGTAGCTGCCTTCCATCAATAGGGGTTATTGCGGGATCCTTATCAATAGTTTATGGAAGGTCCGTGAAAATAGAATCATTTTGCCCTTGAGATGTGACGTGATAGGAAAACGGTGTCTCTACAAAAAGGATATACGTAACACGGTTAGTTCTAAATTACTCACCTACCGAACTGTGTGCTTAACGGAAAATCGATATAAAAGAACAGAGTAATTACAAAGCTCTCAAAGATCTGTGTTTTCTTTGTGTACTGATACGTTATGTTGACACAAGGCTCGTGCAGAAGACATTAATAAAGAATGTCGGTACTTTTCGATTAACAAATAATCGCAAAGACGTCCTAAACCAGGACTAGATGATTCAGGACAGATATAACTTACGTCACGTAGATAAGATATTTCAGAATTAGCCCTGACACCAACAATGAAGGCTCAAATTAGATTAACCTATGCGGGAGAATGATTGTTGTTTTTACGTTGTGAATTCTCATAAAAAGCTTCCTCGTGAAGTTATTCTTGGCGATCACCGCCGGATCCTTTACTAGCAGTTTTATCTTACCAAGAGTTACACTTTAAGGAATGGAAGTCACTTGATGTAAGATCCATAGACGTCTACTCTACTACGAGAATCTCTACTAGCTATCGTGAGTTTAGGTGTCGGCTAAGCAGAAATCTTAGTTTTATTAAACAAAAGAAGCCTGGCAAAAGGGAAAAAAGAGAATTTGACTGGCCGCCAAGCTTCCATTTCAATTGCGCCAAAGAAAATCGAAATTCAGATCACATTGAATCGCTGGTCGCAATTCCGCCCGCATGAAAAAGGCTCTATAGGCAATGTCATGTCTCTTAAAATTCAAAAACTGAAAGGTGCCAATACCCAGAAGCTCGCAGTATTGATGACCCTTTCTTTGGCTAGTTCTGGAATGAAAAAGTGGGCAATGGTTGTGATCTTGGACTTATTGACTAGGAGATGCAATGACGGCTTTCAAAGCACTAATGAAAATGTAACAATATTCGGCTCTCGACTTAGGGAGCAGCGTATCATGAGTGAGGCTGGAAGAAAATATGTGCCACTGGAATAAAGATCGTAGCTCACAACATCATCATGAGGAAATTCAATCGCATAATTTCAATAGAAGGTTCTCTTTTCAGACCCGAATCGGGACTCAACGACCGTTTGCAATTGCCAATTTGAACTCCCAATTTCTATGGCAAATTCAAAACTGAAAATCTGTAAACGTAATCGCCAATGCTAGACGCTAGACGCCAGTAATAGACTCCTCAGTCTATTAAGCCATCTATACTCAGTAAATCCGTAGTATCGATTTCACGATTAATATTAGTGTATTTAAAGGCCTCCTTTGACCAGAGAATGGATCCATTCCATGCGAAATTGCAACAGGATAGCAGCACCATGACTTCTCCTCGCGAACTTCTATCCGAAGACCTTGAGTATTGTAAAGTTGCTCAATCACTGAAAGATATACTTCAGAACGGTGATCGCCTCCGCAGTACAACGTCTATTGGAAAAGTGCTAGACAGGCTCAAGTCCTCGTCAGATGCAACTCAATTTCAGGATACGCTCAATCAAGCTTTGCAGTACGCCGTGCTGAAGTTTCCCAATGAGCTTGGTACAATCAAGTATCTGATCAAACTCGGCGCGAACCCAGGGCATTCCTTTTGCGATGTCATTAAGTTCAAACGAGCTACCTGGAGATATTTTCGTCCCAACTCTGAAGATTACGAAGAGACCCATCACTGGGACAAAGGGCCCGCCGATGAAAGTGACTCTGATGATGAACACAACTCTAACGATGGGAGCAGCTCAACTAATAAAAGAAAGAAAATTTATGAAAGGAATAAGAAAGACTGTTACACTCTCTATGAAAAATATGACAGACAGCAAGGAAAAGTTCCCTATATGAGCGAAAACACGACAGCTATCGACATTGCCGCCTTTGTGGGTGATGTGGAATACACGAAAGAACTTCAAAAGGCTGCCTTGGAGCGAGAGCAAGAAGATTCCAAGGAAACTAGAAGCAATCCCTTAGTAATCGCGGCCTGGCTAGGAAATATTGAAGTCGTAAAAGTGCTTCTACAGCAAGAAGAGGAAGAAAAGCAAATCACCTATTACAGCATGGACATGACGCCTGTCTATGCGGCTGCAACACGAGGTCATCACGAGATACTGAAAATTTTGCTCGCGGGGAAAGAACAGAAGCGACACTGGAAAATCTTTGTAACACCTTATACTAATCCATCGGGTCCCGCTCTTTGTGCTGCTTCTCGACATGGCCACAAGGACGTTGCCGAGCTTCTTCTTCAGAACGGTGCTTGTATTAATCCAGACTGTGATCCAACGGAAACTCCTTTGTCATATGCCATGATGAATGAGCAACTTGCGATGATGGACTTTTTGCTCGATAACGGGGCTATATGGAATCCTGACCTATTGGTGTCAGATGAGTCTGATCTCAGCGACACAGCGTTGAATCATATCATAGACCGCCTAAAGAAGAAACCCACAGCGGAATCCCTATACGCCGCCTTTTGTGTTACGTGTGCTACCTCGAATGCGAATGCTACATCTGCAGTCCAGATAATGCTGGAGGATCAAGACGTCATATCGGGTTTACGAAGCGTAAACTTACAAGGCCCAGACTCTGGATGTTCTATGAAAGTAGGGCCTCTCAATATAGCTCTAAAACACAGCAATAAAGAGCTTACTGAGGTGCTGCTAGACGCAAAGATTCCGGCCATTTGTCGAAGCGGTATTCTTCAGACCTTGCTCGAGTCAGAAGTGATGACCGAGGGTGGCGCGGACCAGGAAGCCTGGCAGAGAGGTATTTTGGAATTGACTCTAAGACATCAGGTTGTATATGGGTTGGAAAGTGAGATTCGCCAGAATGGAGACAAAATCATCGATTATGGAATCAGGCTTGAGCGGTATTACTTTATTTACAGAATATGCAAAGATTTTATGGGTCTTTTGTCTGACTCCGCTCTCACAGCTGTCCAAAAATCGCTACTATTTGATGTGGAATCAGTGAAAAAAGACCATTTGGACGCTGCTGACAATTTCAGCTGGTTTAGCTCACTGTGGCTCGATATCGGGAAAATCGTCGATCATCGTGAACAGAGCCGAGGTGACTGTTGGAGTACCCGCCCTAGCTTTGTAATCAGCAAAGACCAGCTCGGCGGATGTTTAATGAATTTTCTTATGATTATTGCTATTCAATTTATCATCGCTTGTGTTTGGCCCTGGGTTTTCTGAGGCCTAAGGCCCGACTTGCTTTTCCAGAGCTAGAGTTTACGCTTCACTGCTCCCTAGAATGAGCTACTAGCTAAGCAGGCTCCTTGCTTTTAAAAATCTCGCACATTGCAAGTAATCTTTCTATTTACTGTCGACGAGTCCTGCAAACACATTTGAATAATGTTGGTCATGATGATATTGTAACGGGCCAGAGCCCGGCCATAAACCATGTGCCATGGCCTTAAGGGATTGTGTGGGCGAACGGAGGATAGACACCGCCTTCGGCAGAAAGAACCCGGTGTTCTTCGGCAGAAGAACACCATGTGGACTCTTCCCTCTTCAAGATTGTTGTAAACAGCATGTTGGCCTAGTGCAATTGAATCAATTCCGCTACAGCCCTTCACAGATATTTCCAAAAAATATACTCCTCCATTCATGTATCTATGCCGGGAACATATAACAAGCTTGGATATGATACCTTGGAACGGCTTCCTAATTCGCGTGATGTCAATCTAACCGAGAATCTCCGGGCGCTCCTAAAAAATACATTGCATTCACAACACCATGAGCTATAACACCCCTTGAACAACGAGACGGCGCTCGATATACAATCGGAGACTCCCCAGAAAATCCGAAAAGGCCTAGATATTGATTCAATGGAGCACTTTTCTATACTACACGAAATAGGGTGTTTAGGTTGTTGAATACGAAGGCCGCCATATTGACGTCCATCATCCTGCCGCAACCCTGTCGTTCTCTCACGCGCTCGACATTGAGATAGTTTGTGGAGGATACTGCCAGCAGATTCCACGAATCAGTGGCAAATACAATAATTATTGATCAAGCGTGTTTCAAGAATAAATACATTTACATCTTAGACTGTTTAACTTGTTCAACTTCACCTAGAATGGCGTTTAACCGTTGACATGTTTCGTCGCACACAAACATTCTGTTGCAAACAAGGCTCCTGTAGCCAACCAGGGGCGCATGGGTCGCGGGGTCGCTGCGCAGAGGTCGCTGAACGGAAATTTTAAGGATATACCGGTAATCACTGAAGTATCCCGAAGAAAAAAGGGTAGCGGCTGAACGGAAATAGCGGTCGCTTGATGGATCTGCAAAGTTCGATTTGAAAATATCCCGTACCTACCAGATATACTAGTTTTTCCTATAATTTCTAAACAGCGAGCTAAAACAGCAAGCTAAAACAGCAAGCTAAAACCGAACCTGTATTAGATAGTATTAGGTTCTAAGAGATATATCATTAATTTTAATAGTAATAATTAGTTTATCTTAAAATACGTCAGTCTATTAGAGTATATACTAAAGGAATAGTAATTTTTTGTGACGGGCCAGAGCCCGGTGGTTGACCATATGCTATGGCCTTCCGGATACCGCCTCGGTAGAAGGGGTCTGAGCGGGGTCCTACCCGAGATAGGATCGACGCTGTTGAGGACCGCGACCGACTCCTATCCTTTCTTCTTTCCCTCCTTAAGATTGTTGTAAACAGCATGTTGGCCTAGTACAATTGAATCAATTCTGCTACAGCCATTCACATTTTTAAACTCAAGTTAATTAAGTAAAAAGTACATTCTATTAAATTTAATGAAAAACTATTTAAAGTTTCTAGGTTATTCTAATTTTCTATTCAAAATCATCAGAATAATATAGAATTATAGTAGATTCTTGAATATTCTATAAAATATCTTGAAATATAATTGAACATATATTGTAGTGGGGTATTCGGTTGCATGTACTTAAAGTAGTTTTACAGGTACGGGTGCCTGATGGTCTTACAGCCAGGGGATGTTATTTAGTCCTTGAGGATTAGGAAGATCATCAACCACCTCTCGGTCTGATCAACAGTTTTGGTCTGGAGTATGAGGACGGTCTTTACAGTCAAATTCCTTACACTTGCAATGTCTCACTCTTTTTGATTCCTGCCCATTGTTCCTGATATCGGACTACACGATTACCTTGAAGGATTCTGAGACTTGCTTGCTTGTGGTTTTGGTTTGGTTCCTCTCTGACTCGACCTGTCTGGTGAGATCAGACTGCCTTGAGCATTCCCCTCTTTACTATATACTTATTAGACATCATTCTAATAATTATATATGATGGGTATTTTCCCAGTTATCATTAGTAAATATTAAAATGATTTATATAGTTTCAAAAATCTTTCTATTGTAAAAAATTTCAACTAAGATTATACTATACTTGTCTATACTTGTCACGTGCAGTTGGAATCACCCGTGCCGTTGCTCACATGGTATTACTATTAGACCAAAATGTCTATGCCAAATCATTCGATGGCATGGTTTGCCGTGCAACGGTATATATAGTCAGTTGATCCCGTACCTCTATGGGATCACACCGTAGCGCCGGCCCGGCCTAGGCAGTATAAGTTCACATCCCGCTTTCTCTTCTGTATTCTATCACTATCTAAGCAACAATGTCTCAAATTGCTGACCCTAGCATAGACATTCTCAGAAAGAATATTTACTGGGAAGAGTGGGTGCAAATCGAAAAGGAGAAACGTCAAATGGTGGTTTTCCACTGTGATGCGTACTGTTTGGAAAATCACTCGTACCACTTTTGAAGGACTCTGCCAGCTCAAGTATCCACAATCAAAAATTTGGTCTTGATCAATCAAAAACGTCTTGAATTTGCCAATTGTTGACTTAATTTTTTTTTTGGTTTTGATTTGGGTCCATTAATCTCGTCAGAGACACAATAAGAACCGGAAGATGCAGGAATGTTGACCAGTAAGAAAGCACTACACACGCCTGAAACACATATCTGTGGCCTTCGTAATCTTAGTACTTCGACCCACCCACTACCTTCGGTTGTGGGTAGGCGGCGGCCTCACCTCAACCGCCATCCTCACCTCAACCGCCAACTTCACCATCTCTAAGACCTACTACCCCGTTACACCAACCACCATGCTTAAATCGAAGAAAATTAGTGAGCGGCGTCTTCCTGAAGCTATTCAAGCCTACCATCAAGCTGAAAAGCTAAACATCAGCGTAATTGGGCGGTGATATATTATACCGCGTACTACCCTACGTGATCATATCATTCTTAGTATAGATCCTCAAAGTAGTCGAAAATCTACTACTAGAGTTCTACTACCTTATCTGGAAGAGGCCATGATACGCTGAATCCAGTAGACATTAATTTAGAGCCTTGGAGGAGTATAAGATCTAAGGTATTGGTTTCCTAATATATATAACGCACCTTTGCCAGCCACTGGACAGGAAGCCCTTCCTATCCTGTAAGCAGCACTTTGTGCGTTATAATAACGTATACTGTCTTTGGGCCGGTGATTGGAATCGAATTAATTATATCGACCGTATCAACTCTATGTAGCTGCATCAACCGCATTATTTCTATAGAGCTATATCAACCGCATCAACTCTATAGAGCTGCATCGGCTGCATAAACTCTATAGAGCTAAATCGGCCACATCAGCTCTATGAATATGATCAACCATGATAACGGTACATCTCTATGCGATATAACGTATAGTATTCAGGCTATAAGAGAGCCAGAGGACTCATATAGGCGAAAAAGGCTGTAAAAAGTGCTAAAATCGATACAGCCTCTAGAGCCTGATTCAACACCATCCAAGACACCCCACATAGCCAGCAAGCTTTTTGAAGACCTAGATAACGCGCAGGGGGCTTAAATTTCGAAGGCGTCTAGGCTAGATTGGTAGTCAAGTCAAGTCTGTATATAATTATTATATCAAATAGGACATGGCGTTGATGATAGTGAAGTTACCAAAGTCATGCAGATTTTGGTGAAGTTGGCGGTCGAAGTACTAAGAATACGTAGGCCACAGATACTCAAGCACAGAATGTAATTTCAAGTCAGTTCCCACCATCAGTCTCTCGTATTGGCAATAAAGGCTTCCACTGGCCAAAGAGAAACTAATGATAATGTCTCACCACGTCATAGCTTCGGTCAAAATGTCAGCCGACAATTGTTCACATCCAGAGGCCGGAAGACGTCTTCAACGTGGATTTATCCGCTCCTATTGATTCATAGTAGTACGTGGCTTACAAGGGCTTTTTTAAATCAGTAGTTAACCGGTGGTAGAGATCATACACCCAGCACAAAATAGAGATATTGTGCGCAATCTTCGAATATAATTCTCTGTATCTGTACAGCCCTTCGCTATAAAAATCGATACCATTTTCTATATTTAGGACGTTCTTCTGCTAGAAACTTCCGGGACTTCTTCATTGCTTTTCGGAATTGTCTCTCGGTCTGGTAGCTATGCGTAGCGTGGCGACTACAAAAGCAGTATGCATGACCAACTTCCACCTTGATTCGAGGACAGTCTTTGTAGCGATGACGCAAGCAAGACCGATAACCCGCTTCCTCTTTGCAGAGACACCACTCGTAGACAACGTGTTATTTAGATACACATATTTAAACTCGTAGTATGGTAATTAGCGAGGAATGCGTCGGCGTTTTCGTGTAATACAGGCAATATTTAGCCTCGTGTACTTCAAGGGAGACGGCGTTACCAGCGAAGGGCGGTTTATGGTATCATTATCTAGGGTGAAAAACTAATCTAGCAGTAGTTATTTATATGATTCGAGGCTCTTAAACTTTAGCGGAAATAGAAAAGATACTTAAATTGTTAGAAGGTCTGTATCGCAGGACAGAGAACCTGTTGGTTAGGCAGAGAGTCCAAGTCTATAGGGTCTGATTTCAAAGACTGAATCTTGGAGTCCGGGTAGACTCTCCCCTAGTTTCCACAATATATACATGGGGTCCCTGTGTACCGAGTCCCCACAACCCCACATGATGTCTTGAGGGTTGTTACCCTAAGGCGGCGCGGGGTCGATTCGATCGTGAATCGTCTCGAGTCACCATATGTGACTCGCGCCGTGACATAAATAGTATGTTTCAAATATT